AACTTTGGAATCTCTTCAAACTGTAAGTTTGTTATTCACATGTATAAAATATCAGCCAAGATTTTCAAATTAAAAAAGTAAATATAATGACCATTAATTCCGACTTTTAGAAATCAGAAGCCTCACCATTAGTTATGCATGCTGTTTTTAAAAATATGCGTTTAAATCTATATTTATAATCTATATTTAATCTACATTGCTAATTGCCAGCTAATTTGCTAATTGTGTATCCGATTTATGATAACAGCAGTTCGTCTAAGCAGCTAGCCAGAAATCAAGTGATTCCAGAAGATTCAGCCCCCTGAGCTCAGTCAAAGCTGGAAGTCTGCTAATAGGCTCGGCCCTGGACGAGCAAAACGGTCATCCGATGTTTATGTCACTTCGGTTTGGCTAGTTAGCAGCCACTACTAATCGATAAGAATATAGCGCTTCAGCAACACATCTCCACTTTATTCTATTCTTTCCTGTCCTCTTCAGATGGGTCCACGAATGTCCATAATTTCTTATGTCCTTCTCCTCACACGATCTCCTCCACGTTGCAGTCTCACCGACGACCAACTCGTCGCTTCTCATTCAATTTCCACTTAAACGATGGCCTTCATTGCACGCGAGGTTATTCGACGACCTCCTTATTGGCGTATGCCCTATCTATCTCGGTTCTCTCCTACGTGTTTGTCAGGCAATCAGCTCTTGGTTGGTTGGCAGATTTTATTGTTGCTAGTTCTTTCTGACCGGTCGGTCGGCCATTTGATCTTCAATATGCAGCCAGATGGAGAAGGAGGATGCTGATGATAAAAATGGTTAACCGGTTGGGATTCCTTTTTGAGACACGCAGTGCAAGTTCCTGATCCTTAAGAATGTGACTGACTTAATATTTGTATTGGAAATCCGAATCTTCTTCCTAATGCTGAGTGCAGATGATTCCAAAACTGATTTCCAAGTGATGAGGGAGTATTTGGCCTTTTCTGATCCCCACTGGCTTTGGTATGTTTATTCGTTCTGTCGCCTGCAGTTGAAACGATGCTTCCTAGATTAGTAAATGAAGTGACCTCTTTTAAATTTCTGCCGTTGATGGTGATTGCTGTTGGTTGTTGCTTCATTAGTTAGTTAATTATCATCACCTCTGTCCTCCATATGTCCACCTGCAATCCTGCCTTCACTGCTTGCCCCTTCAACCAGTTTGTCGGTTTTTTCCCGTATGTCTTGAAGTTTGCACGACATCCTAGATTCTTCTTATCGATGGTTCAGCGTCTTTCCAGTCCCAATGTACAGATTGATGCATAATCCAGTCCACCACAATTAAAATAAGTAGTATATATATATATATATAGTTTCACGAAATCAGTAATGACCATTTTGGAAATTCATAAAGAGAATCAAATTGGTTTAAATGACGATTTAATTATGGTGATATATTGAGCAGAAGCATTCTCGGTGATTAAATTAATGACTAGAACTGTAATCACACTTTCCACAGGGATACTTAACTGTGGTGATTGACAGTTTCTATCTCTGTATTGTTTAAGTACTTACTGTTGATTGCTAATATGTTTCATATATGAACTGCATTAGAATTCTGCTAAATACAAATTCCTGAATTCCGCCCTCTCTGTGTTTTGTTTGGATTCTTGTAATTCGATCATCTCGAAATACTAATACTACGATTACAAATAATTACTACAAATTGGCGTCGCGTTGGAACTAAATAACCTGGGAAAATTTCCTCCAAATGGTTCTCCGCGGGAGATCGCTGATTATTTTGAATGCTTCGATGCGTGGTGCATTTCATTACTGCTATTGGGCTAGATGCATATAGCCTAGTGAAGACTCTGTCGTTTCCAGATAAACCAATTTCTCTGCCATATTATAAACTACGTGAACTTCTGATAGATCACTTCCATATAACTACTTTTGAGACGCGAGAGAGGGCTCAATTCAACAAACTGGTTCGTGCTCCCAACCAGAAGATTCGAGAATTCATTCTTCAAATTCAAGCTTCAAAGTGTAACTTTGGAGATCAGCTGCATACACAACTACGTGATCGTCTAATTGCTGGAATAAATATTCCTAAGTTAGAGAAAGAGTTAATTCAGATTCCTTCTTGTACCTTTCAAACTGCTAAAGATTTATGTATTACATATGAAGATGTCAATAATGAATACTCTGCTCCCACTACGTCAGTATCTGATGTCATGCTGTCCAAAGTCGAAAATACAAGTGGTCATGGAAAGCAATCCAAACTGCCGTCCACAGGTAATAGAATGCAGCGAGAGATCAAAAACATTAAACCGTGTTTTTCCTGTGGAAAGTTACATCTACGAAGCACTTGCCGTTTTCGGGGTGCTAAGTGCCACAAATGTGGTAAAGTTGGACACATCAAGACTGTTTGCAGAAGTTCGAATACTTATGTTACTCAGAATTCTGATAATTCTCCCAATCTGTCTAGTAAAATGGAGTCAATGTGTCTTTCAACTTTTCAAAATACTCAATCTCATCCAATGAAAACCTCCACTACAAGTTCAGCAACTCAAGCGTCAACTGTTTCCAAAAATGAGGTAGCCGAGTTACAATGCGAACTGTCGAAAACACGAGAAGAACTGAATGAGATGAGAGAGCAACTGATTAAAATGGAGGAATTGTTGCATATGCATAGACTGTGTCTGTTGAATGCAGAGCATACAAGTACCCGTGAAAGTCCTGCAAAACTTTTCAAATCTCGAATTCTCAAAAAGCATCTGATGTCCACGACTTCTAATGTACATTATTACAAAGGGAAGGACTACAGACCTTCTGTTGAAATCATACTACAAAAAGTGAGAAATCGAGTGGTGAAGATATTAGACATCAAAGATCACTCAGTTCATAACGGACACCTGGACAAAGTGAAAATAAATGAAGTAGGTCGTTCCAATTATAATATTAATAATTCCGCTACTAATCCTGATTTTGTAGATAATTCTGAAATAAGTCCAGATAACAGTGATGAAGATAATATCACAGAATCAGTTAGAAGGTCGCAGCTACTTGCAAGCAAACCGAGACATTGTTATAAATACGCAAGGAGATATTCGACGTGTGGCGGATGTGGTGATTGACAATTTCTATCTCTGTATTGTTTAAATACTTACTGTTGATTGTTAATATGTTTCTTATATGAATTGCATTAGAATTCCGCTAAATACAAATTCCTGAATTCCTCCCTCTCTGTGTTTTGTTTGGATTCTTGTAATGCGATCATCTCGAAATACTAATACTACGATTAGAAGAAATTACTACATTAACATATCGTCATCTCCCAACAATCTAATATCACTTTTGACACTCTCCTGTATTTTAGGTGTTAAAGGTGATGCAGATAAACAGAAATTAGGTTATTTATTTTTCCTTAATAATAACAAAAAATTACGTGCTTTATTCCAAAACAGTATTTGTGATACAGAATGGAATTCTCAGCATTTCACTACATACAGTATTGCATCCAGTTAGTACATTAATATTAGATAAAATTCTACATAAATTAAAGGTAATCTCGGTTAGTTTTGACAACAACATATTAGCATGTCGTTAGCAAAGTCAAAATTGAACAGAGTGTTTGAAGGTGTTAGAGAGGAAGGTGCTAACATATTTGCTGGTGTAAGCGATAACAAAAAGGTCGAGATATACAGAGTGTGAAAAACGAAGAAGAATGCTATAAATAGAGTTTGTAAGGAAAAGAAAGGAAAAAAATAGCACATAACATTAAAAAGGAGGAGAGGAAAGGAAAAGAAAGAAAGAAGACGTTGTACCTGTAGATGATATGAATTGGAAAGACGAGATCCAGTTGTTCTATTGACTATTTAACAAGTTATAAGTTTCACGCTTAATGCTTTCTTTATCGCACTGAACACGAGCTAAGTAGGGTATGGTTGAGTTTTTCTACTTGCTAGTGCGAGCATATAATTTTCTATATAGGCTCCTGGTTGTGCCTGATGAGATACAAGGTGAGAGTTGTAAATGAAGAGGGTGGTGTGAGTTAGATAAAATGGATTTAGCCCATTTTTCACATGAGTCCAAGTGCGTGTCGACCAGAATATTAACAAGCTGGTTAGGTGGCATATTGCTTACTCTGCTGACAACCTTTAATATCCTACGTAATAAGATATAGTCCTTCTTCAGTAACCCTGGAAAAACTAAGGGGGAATAATAGAGAAAAGTAGGCAGGATGCAAAAGTTAACGAATTGAAGGAGTAAGGGTTGGGTGGGTTATTCCAGAATGTCTTGACTTCTTGATATAGAAGGCAAGACGGAATATTTTCTCAGAAATCATCAAGATATGAGACGATCGGGAAAGTTCAGCAGATAGAATGAAGCCAAGATATTTAATTTCAGACTTGGTCTCTATTTCAGTGTCACCTATGTTGCACACCTCGTGAGTGGTAACCAGTTTGTATGGGTCAGATTTATGCCTAAATTTGAAATTGACTGTTTGACATTTAGAGGGATTAAAGGTTAGACCATTTTCCTTCGACCGCTGTCTTATTTCTGATTAAAAATCCATTTAGTTTGGAGCAGTCACTTTGAAATTTGGCAGGCAAAGATACAGTCAAGTCATCAGCATATTTAACAAAATTAATGTCATTTGAAGATGGTATGTCATGCAGAAAGAAAGAAAGAAAGAAAAGAAAAGTGGGAAGAGTACAGCACCTTGGAGTTACCAGATTCAGTGAGTACAGCAGAGGGGGATTTACCTTTGTATCCAGTGTACTGCATTCCGTTTGAGAAGTAGGAATGCAACCAGTTTGTGTCATCGGGAGCTTATTTAGCAAGAAATATTGAGAAATACAAAAGCTTTTATAAGAACGAGTTAAATATTCAGTGGTTTCAAAGTGTCCTCTGACCGCTCAAGTTTCACTGAGAAACCCACCTTCAGATCTATTCAGATGGCTGTTAAAACTGGCATTTCGAGATGATTTTTAAATATCTATTATCCTATTTACATTTGTTATAGCATAATTAATTACCTCATAAATATAATATTCACCACTCTTCGACTGTAAAGCATCAATTGAACAGATATCCAAACCTCCAAACAAACGAGAGACTTCATCAATCCATAGTTTAAATCTGAAAAGAAAAACAAGATGCAAGAGAAAAACTTTTAAATGTTAGTTTTCTTCGTAATGCATAACATATAAGAAAGTCAGTCAATTAGTGGATGGTGACCAGAGGTGGAGTCAACCATGACGCGCATTTCGCCTTATCTTATTAGGAACTCGTCAGCTTGCTGGATTTACCTGCATTCCGCAGTGAGTGATGTTGACCCCACCGAGGGTCGTTTATTTTGTGAACTTCACACATTTATTACTAGATGACAAGAAAGAGAAGATGCATTTTAAAACTGTGGATTCGAATACAATGAGTATCGACCTCACAGTATATTTATGAAGTATAGAACTTCATCCTATCGTATTACTGTCCCTTTGGGTTCCGAGTAGAACATATGTCTTCAACCACACATTTCCAAATTCTTCTATTTTCTGTCAGCTTCCTCAACTGGGTCCACAATTGACCATAATTTCTCATGTCCTCCTCAAACTCATACGATGTTCTCCATGTTACCTTCACACTGACGACCCACTTGTCGCCTATCCCTGGAGTTCCACTCGACTGATGGCCTTTATTGCGCGCGATGTCATTCTATGGCCTCCTCAACATATACCCGATCTATCTCTATTTCCTCTTACGTATTTGTTGAGCAGTCGGATCTTGGATGGTTGTTGTACTATAGAGTTTCTTGTTACTAATTCTTTCTCGTCATTCGTCATTGTGTACCTGACCATTATATTCACCTTAAAGTTACAACGGAGCTCGAATAGCTCAGTGGTAACGTCTTTGATTGATTGTATCACTGGGTGACACGGGCTCGAATCTCAGAAGGGAAATGAGTTCCTTCAGGGTCGCAGATACACACCTTGTTGACTGGTGAGTAACAACAAACATGAAATCTAAATCAGACAGGGCTTCCTGAAAATTAGATCCTACCATCTAATAACAGGAATTCAGAGTGTAATGTGATGGCAAGCCAACTAGCTTGATAGTGTCCACATCGCAAACTTGATTGATAGAATTCAGAATGTGCGGAACGAAGTAGACTTTGCCGCGTTATTGCACACTGCTGTTTTTTTTAACATTGCGTATTCATTGTTACTTAGAGATGCTACGAAATCATCACTTCGCTTTCTTCAGTTTTGACTAGTTTTTAAACACTGAAACTAGAAGTTTGACTTTTAACTGCCAGTCACTAGAAAAAAATAGTGAGTTCTGTAAACAGTTTTCATGATCTTAAAAAACATGAAAATCTACAAAGGATTCATACAACAACTCTCCCAATGGATAAACTCGAACAAAATATTTAGCAGGACGGGGAGGTCGCGTTTCCTATAAATGTGTGTGTAATTGTACACGTGAATGTACATGTTTGCCTAATTAGGTAAGTGGAGGTAAGTGGAGATACCTGTAATGTTTTTCTTTGTGCCACGTGGTCCTCACATTTCTGTTGTTATCGTGCTTACAGTCTGGTGACTGGAGTTCATAGTATTACAAGTAGAATAATGATGATAAAAAAAAATAGCATTTTGATGTTTCTTCTGACAGGTGCATAGATGTTCAACCAAATCCCCAGTGGATGTTTGGTTTTTTTTCCAGAGTATTTGACTCTTTCACATGTCTTAGGTGAGTCTGACCCGATCGGTGTCGTCTGGTTAATTAGTTGATTATTTGGTTGTTAGATTGATCACTTGTCAGTTAGTTTGGCAGTTCAATGAGTTTTGTGAGCTTGCTGTTGGAAGTTCGTGAGTTCAGTGTTAATCGACAGTTGACAGTTGGTGAATGGAAGTACGAAGAGTTGAGACACTGTGCATTTGATACGTGTTAATCTTATCCATACTGGCTTATTTGTGACACACGGTTCATTTGTTGTGTAATACTGTGACACAGACAAACCCACAAAATAGACAAGTAATGATCACCTGATCACAGAATTACTCACCACCGTCATATCATTCCGATTAGCAGTAACTGAAGTTGGACGAAATTCACAGACACAGTGAATCTTTTGATCAGTGAAATAACTGAGGGGTACACTCACCGACTCTAAATGTGTAAAGCTTTGATGATTGGTTGAACGGACGACACAAAAGCTTGATAAGCAAGAGTGGCATGAATTTTAAGAGAGTTCTCTTCTTATATAAGCATGTATGAAAATACAGCCCCTAAATCTGTTAGCGGACTATGGTTTCAATCCATGGACTTCTGGGTTATGGGCCCAGAACCCTTCCACAGAGTCATTGTCCTGGGCTGAGCCCATCATCTGCTTAAAAACTTAAAAACCTATATATACACACGCACACCCATATACACAGACACGAAATACAATAAAGACATCCTGAACGAAATCAATAAACAGTCCCATCAACAGGGAAATCATAACTCTGTTATGGGGAAGTGTATGCATTTTCTATTGTAGATCTCACAACACTGTAGTGAAATGATGATTTTGTACTCTACAGTGGCTAGCATTTAGATTAAAAACTTGAGTTTCTTCCTATGTCATGACATGTTTACTAGATATGTCTATATCTCCATGATTGCTACTGTTCCTACCATTGGACAAAGTCTCAGTATATGCGGTCATAATCTCTATGCGAAAATCGATACATTATACTGCATGTATTTACACCTAGTAGATGAGTCATAAAAAGAGAATGAAAACCATCTTGTGAATTTTGCTACCTGACACTTTGAAATATACAACGCCTTTTTTTGTCATAAATTGAATCAATTTCTTAAAATATTGAATATTTTTTAAATATTAGATAGTTGGAGGCAATCGGCCACAGGAAGCCCAAACTGACCTAGGTTTCGCGCCACTTGGCCTTCTTCAGCGCGGCACATCTGGAACTTTGAAGGAAGTAATGTCCCTCCTGAGATTTGAACCCACGTCATCCAGTGCTACTGACAGGATTCAGTCTACACCAAATAAAAGACTAGACACATTACTCTAGTTCCTACCTAGTGTCAAATCGAAGTACCTGATACAGTCCTACAGGTGGTCAGTTACGAAACCAAATAGCTCAGTGGTAACGTCTCTAACTCCACCACTGGATGACACGGGTTTGAATTTCAGAGGGTGCATGATTTCCTTCAAGGCTACAGATACACACCTTGTTGACTGATGAGTACCATCAAGCATGAAAACTAGGCCAGGCTGTGATTCCTTCCGATTGCCTCCAGCCATTTAAAACCAACAATTCAGAATGCAACATGGTGGCGAGCCACCTAGCTTGATGTTGGCTACACTGGAAACTTGACTGATAGAATTCAGTTTACACCAAACAAAGAACTAAACACATTACACTAGCTACCAGCTAGTGTCCAATCGAGGTAATGAAAATTTCATTAACCCGCGCAAAATTTTATTACACACAAAGAAATATATTGAAAATTCTCGTTCAGATATTCAAAAGACAAAAGAAGGTTCGAGCAAAGAATATTCTTTTCAAGTATTGGTTTTGTAGGGATTTTTGTTTTATTGCATGGAGGATTTCATCGTGAGCTGACACCAGTTAGAGAACCACTGGAAAACCAGCTGGGAGTACTGGACAGTTGTTTCATCCTAGTTTGGGACTCTTCATCAGTACGCACCCACCAGGGTTAGGTGGCACAGTGGTTAGGACTCTCGCCAACCATGCACATGGTCCGAGGTTCGATCCCCTGCCAACGCACACCTGATATCTATGGTTGGCCTGCAAAATTTGGGCTCCCGATATCCATGGTGAAAATTCCATACTTGTACCAAAAACACAGTGTGGAATCGAGCTGTAATCAAAAATAAAATAAAAAAATAAATAAACTCAGTACCTTCTGGTTACAAGGCAAGCTCGTAGACCATTGAGCCACTAGGACCTTATCCAATGATCCTTGAAGATGAGGTAGTAACTCATCGAAGAAGACATTGAGAAATGGTCGCGCTATGTCGTGAATTGGCAGAAGTTAGAATTCATGGACTGGCCAGTGGATCGGGTCCCAGTGGCTCAATGGTCTACGAGCTCGCCAGCCTTGTAACCAGAAGGTCCTGTGTTTGAACCCTGTTGCTGGTTGCGCACTGCTGAAGGGTCTCGAACTGGGACGAAATAGCTGTCCAGTACTCCTAGGTTTTTCAGTGGTTCTCTAACTGGTGTTAGCACACGATGAAATCCTCCATGCAATATTCATTTCGATAAATTCCTCTTCGGACTCTAAAATTACGTATATATATATATATATATTATATTCTAGAATAATCGCCATTAACAAAATTGTTACTTTTTTCAATAAATAGTATCGATCTTTTAAGATCAGTGGCCTTACAGTTAAACAAACACGCAGAAGTTATAATAAGCATGAAAACATGTAATACAAAATAGAATATCAAATAAAATTAAGGAAATTTCTGCAATAAATTAAAGATCATTAAAATCACAGTGGTATCTGAACCAACTTCTTCCGCATACATAACTTAGACGTCTCCTTATTGTGGATTCCAGCAGCCAGCCTCAGCAATATGTAGTAGACGAACTCTTGAGGTAGGGTTAAGATTAGTTGGTATACGGTGGATAACTTTGAAAGCCGCCTTGTTGACACCAATCTTGTGTTCTATATCCACTAGATGGGATTGAATAGAACCATGAATGGGTTTTGTTTATCGCTTGCTTGACCACATACAGGATGGTGTTTGTAAATCCAAAGACAAACACACCTGATTGTATGGCCTGTGTAACCAGGCCAATAGGAGCAGTCAAATTAGTAGATACACATAGAAGAAGCAAAATTAATTAGTTTTTCTTTAACTGTCTAACATAAACCACAGGTGGCTTTGAAGATACTGCATAATTCAGCAGCACTGAATGGCTTTTTTTACCGCATTCCGTAAGCGTTGTGCCATTACCTCAACATGATTTTATCACCAAGGTACCAAATTTACAGAAATAAGGCCCTTTTCGAAACCGTTGGAACTTTGGCTTGCATTGAATTTTGATTTCTATTCTTGTATCTACCAATTCAACCGCACTTTTAGTGGAGCGCGT